GCTGTCCGCGTTCCCGCTGCTTAAAGTCCCTAATATTGCAGACAACACGAAAAGTGACGAAGATAAATGGGACCACTTTACCATTTATGTTTTCCTGCGGCGGTAAAAAGCTAAAACGAAAAAAACATATTTGCTTGAATTGAAGGAAGCTAATGGTTTGAACAAAGGAAAAGAAAAAGGCGATTATTTTATGTATCGTTGATTTTGTTTACGAAAAAATGTACCGTTTTTAAGTGAAATGTGAAACATTTTGTTGGTTTTCGCGTCCAGATAAAGTCTTCTAGTGTCGTAAAAACAGTTGCAATAGTGAATAACTGAAATTGTCTGATGCCTGATGTTTTAAATTTTGATTGCCCCGAAAAAGCCGGGTAAATCTTCAAATGCCCCTTCTCCAGGCGTTATTTTGCGTAAAAGTAAACATGCGAGTCTGTTGACCCGAAATTTCAGCTGTAGAAATGAAAACTGGCGGCTTGTTAAAACTGAAATTTTACAAGATTTCCCTCGCCGATCATCTGAGTACATGGTAAACACTTAATACAGGTCGGACGTTACTAATGACACTATGGAAATTTCGGCTATACAAAACAAAGCAAGTGCCATTAGCGGGCAATTATTTTGCCTCGTCGCAATGTTCAGTGCATCTTATTACCCGAAAACTGGACTTTCTGCTGTTGTTTCACACAACAAACCCGGCCGCTTTCGAAAATAGACCATTTTTTAGCGGATAAATTTAGAAAGTAAGACGAAACTCGCTGTATATGAGTAAAACTCCAAATGATGTCTAAAGTAAGATTTGGGTTTATTTGGTGCTCTTCTTGGCTCTTCTATTCAATGAGAACAACTTGCCGTCGCAAACAGATTTAGTCCCACACGGTAAATTAACATTTTCAACAATCCGACCACCTGAACAGAACATCAACGCAAAACATTTTCAGGAATCAAAGAAGAAAGCAAATCGGAAATCACCTCCCTTTTTCTCACGTTTTCTTCAATGTTCTGTATTGCGAGAAGAATGGACATTTTTTTTTTTACAATTGTATAGAGTGTAAAAGAGATAATTTTTCTTCTGACTCCCTGTTCCTTGTTAACAATGTTAGACAAGATAATTTCCTCCTCTTCATCCTCAGTTCAGGAAATAAATCAACAAACAGTACGCGCAGGTGGTGAGTTGTCAGTCGATGCCTTTTGTCTTAACAAGCGGGAATTGCGCAAGACAATTGAATGCCAGCCTACATGACGGTCCCACAGCGACTCGCGATGGGTATCACTGTATCGAAAATACCAGGCCGTTCTGTCAGCGAATTCCTGAGGGAGAGGGCAAGAAATTAAAGGCAAGCGTGGCCAATTTCACTTTCTCGCGACAATTTCAACATGTTCAAACATTCAGTCCATGTTCAGTTAGTTTTCATTAGGCACCGTTAGAACTCTTTTCCGTTACGGCCTACTGCAGACCGTTATTAGTTTATGAGATTTCCGCGGTAGACTGAGTGCGAACTGAGCACGGGTCCCTCCCGGTGACGGTGGGGTTGGAACCCTGAAAAAAATAACGTGGCAGAGAGAAGTTGAGGACTTGATCACTCCTCGCTTGTGTTTATTGGAGTATAAAGTCCAGTAGCGTATATGACGAGTCCTCGAGGCGTAGAGGAAGGGTAAGGATCTAAATGCGAGGGGGGAGGGGAGGAGAGGGTAGGGTGGCAGTTAGGACATCTCTTATTTCCAATTACCGCAATTCAATATTAAAATTGCCGAAATACCGCATGAACAATACCGCAAATCCCAATGTCCCCCTCCTGATG